CTCTCTGGTTTTTGCGCAAACGTTAGGCAAGTTGAAGAGGAAGAAGTCGTGGGTTATAAATAGAAGAGATTAAACATTTTAAAAACAACTCAATCTTCCCAATTAAGAAAATAATCTCCTTTTCAGACCATTACCACAGACTGTGCCAAACACGGTTAAGTGAAAGCACAGCAAACGAGGCAATCGACCGTTTGAAAAAAAGTCGCGGCTGACCGAAGAAGATTTCGGTTGACCGAAGGGATTTACGGTCGACCAAAAAAATGCTTCGGTCGACCGACCGAAAAACCGATCGACCGCGAACAACATTGAAAATCCAGAAAACAAGCAGAGCCATCATCGGTCGACCGGCGCGGTCGACCGATATAAAAATCGAGATTCAGAAAACAAGCAGAGCCATCATCGGTCGACCGGCGCGGTCGACCGATATAAAAATCGAGATTTCGGTCTACCGCACCGGTCGACTGACGACCTCTCTGGAGCTCAGTAACAAATGATCATTTGTGCGGTCGACCGGTCCGGTCGACCGCATTCTGATATATTGCAGAAACTGACTTTTTGACTTAACTAAAATATTTGCAAAATATTTATTTGACCTCTGAAAATTATGAAACTTTGTAAAATGTTTTTAATACTAAAAACAAACTGTTTGGAAAAAGAATTTTGCAGATAGGTCCTCATACCTGTGAAAAATAGTATTTTGTGAAAAACGTTTAAAAACATAAGTATGAAAACGTGTGTGTGATTCCCAATAGCTTCAAGTAAAATCAGTAACTCTTTGCCTATATTCTAGCACTAGAGAGAAAATAAAAACTAGCTAATATCCTCACATAGAATAAAGTTCTTGAGTCTTGATATAGCTTTAATTTTGATGAAGCTTCTATATGAATTTGTTGTTCTTGAGATAACATTGCTTCATCATTATGCCTCCTCCTCCTTTAGATATCATCGTTGTAGCGTATGTTCCATCCAATCCTCCATTCATAGCACTAACAAGCTTGATAAATGAATTTACTACATTTGCACTCAATAAGCCATCAGTACCAATAATGATGGTTGTAAAACATCATCAAAACATAAGGGCTAACAAAGTTTGCTAAAGTCATGGGCGAATGTCGCTGAAGTCGTTAGAGAGGGTCGTTGTGAGTGTGGGAGAGTCTTCTTCGGAACTGAATGACTTGGTTCACTTGAGCTAACATAGATGCAGTTTATTAGTTGGCGAACTTCACCTATAAGTTTGAATTTAACATAGAATTCTACTCTATGTTTGGCTAATTGATGATGTTTTCGACTTGGCCTGGCTAGAACGGGTGACTCGGCCTAGTGAGAAGGGACACCTCCTAGCAAGAAGGGATGACTCCTTGAGAAAAGGGTGAGAAGTACCTCTTTTTAATCAGCCTTGAAAGTTCTCATCCGAATTGGAGAGAAGGGACGCTACCTGGCGAGAAGGGGTGAATCAGCCCGTCGACTCGCTTTTGATTTGGTCGAGTCGAGTCAATATGGGCTATGTGGTGAGGTTCGATATGGCTTCAGCTTCAGCTAACTTTGCTATGTCTGCGATGAACTTCGCCATGTGTCTTATGTAGACTATTTGGGCGAAGCTCATTTTTGGCTAGCCTCGCTAGAAGCTTCACTTTGACTTAGTCTTGAGAACGAGCTTCATTATGACTTGGGTGGGCTTTGCTATGGGTTGGGTGAGCTCCACTGATAACTTTAGATTTGACTCAAAATCCGACTTGAACTCGTTTATTAACTCAACCGACTTGAGGACGCCTTTTGACTCTTAAGTCCTTCTTGAGGATTGACTTGGACTCAGGTTCTCTTTAGCTCGGGTGTAGTCATTTCACATGTGATCCAGGTGAACTTCGCTATAGCTATGCTGATACTTGAACCCATCTGAAGTGTTTAGCCCATGTGTGTTTACTTCTTTGACTCGGACTCAACATTAGTCCAATAGAGTATATTTCAACTGTCTACAGTGGCGATGACAACAATAATCTCTAGTCTAGAAGATGAAATATTGTCTGACTCGCTCATCATGAATCTTGTGGTTAACTTTGACCAACTCATGGCCAGAGCTCGGTCCCATATGGATGCAAAAGACAATCACCTCCATAAGTGGGCAACCCAAAGGGAAGCTGCTAAAGCCGAGTCTTTCAGAAGCAAGAAGGCTCAGAGCGACTTACCCGAGTCTAAGTATAGATCCGGTAGACTCAATAGGGTTGATCAGAGAAGGGATGCAATGAGGAGGCTAGCGGTCCCCCCAATACTTCCCTCTCATAGTTATTACACTTGATCCAAAAGGACGTGCATCTCACCAAACCTCTTCTAAATATAACTTTAAACCCTAGCAAGAGAGACCTTCGACAATACAATCACTACCATCGAACCACGATCACAACATCGATGACTGCAGAATCTTATAGAGAGAAATCAAGAAACTCATTCAAAAAAGGTTGCTAAAGAAATTCTTTAAGAATCATAGCAAAAAGGAGCTAGTCCCGGATAAATCAGGGAGGAGGAGATATAGATCAAGATCCCCACACCCGAATCTACAAAAAGAAGCAGCCAAGAGAAGCCAATGATAAATAAATCATCAACACTATTAGCAATGGCCTAAGAAGCGGGAGGAAGGCTGAATAATACTTGGAAGAAGCATGCCTAATGAGCCTCTCAGGTAAATCTCTGTGATTATCCTCACCAGTCCATTTAGGTCTGATTCATTATGATGGTCATTAAATTAGCTTACAACGTCATCCTTAGGAAAGCTTACTTGAATGACTTCTAAGTTGTTCCCTCCGTCTACCACCAAAATGATGAAGTTGGCCTTGTGTAAAGTAATCAACAGGAGGTCAAATTATACTATCTGCTCTCTGTAAAGGGTAAAGGGACACTAAAGACTATGCTAACCAAAGAATTCTAAGCCTACCCACAAAGAGATGAAGAAAGGGAAGGAACCACTCCAGTGGAAGAACTAAAAGAAGTTCAGCTCGGCCCCAATAAAACTAAAAAGATTAAAATTAGGTCAGAGCTGATTGAGTTGTAGCGAGGATCAATTATCACATTTATTTGCACCAATGTTGATAGTTTGCCTATGGACCTGAGGATATGCCAGGAATCATCCTAAAAGTGATAGCTCATGAGTTATTCGTCAACCAACATATCAAGTTGGCCCAATAGAAGAAAAGTTATCTTGAGCCGAAGAGACAACATATGGTTACAAAAAATAGTCGATCGACTATTGAAAGTTGGTTTTATCTGAGAAGTCCAGTACTCAGAATGACTAGCTTATATGGTGCTAGTCAAGAAATCCAACATCAAATGTAGGATGTGCATTGACTTCATCGGCCTCAAAAAAGCATGTCCCGAGAATAGATAGCCCCTCCTCCGGATTGACTAACTGGTTGATGAGAGTGCTGACCTTGAAATGCTCAGCTTCATGGATGCCTTCTCTGATTATAACCAGATAAAGATCACAGAGCGTGATGAAGAAAAAACCTCTTTCATCACAGATCAAAGTACTTGTTGTTATATGGTAATGCCCTTTGGTCTTAAGAATGCAAGAATAACCTACCAGATGTTAATCAACAAGATCTTCAAAGATCAATTTAGTCGTAATGTGAAGGCGTGATGTAGATGACATATTGGTGAAGTCTAAACAGATCGACTCTAACATTGCGGATCTCGAAGAAACCTTCTTCGTCCTCTATTAGTACCAAATGAAGCTCAACCTTACGAAATGTACCTTACGAGTACGATTGGGCAAATTCCTTGGATTCATGTTAACTCAACGAGAAATCAAGGTCAACCTAGAGAAGATAATTGACATTGAGGAGATGCCCGAGCCTCACATGGTGAGGGATGTCCAAAAATTGAATAGGAGGATAGCTGCTTTAAGCTGTTTTCTCTCCAAGTTGGCTGAAAGAAACCTTCCCTTCTTTAAAGTCCTCAAAGGGGCTAAAGGATCCAGGGATGACATTCAGTGGCTGATAAAGTGTAGTAATGCTTTTACAGAGCTTAAGAGGTATCTGATCTCCAGGTTCTTATTGAGCAGACCCATTGAAGGGGAACAACTCTACCTCTATCTAGCCATCTTGACAGAAGCTATGAGCTCAATCCTGGTCTAAGAGGGAGAGAGAACGTCTGGAAACCACTGTACTACGTCAGTCGCATCCTGAAGGCAGCCGAACTCAACTGCATCCTCATTGAGAGAGCCTCATTCGCTCTCATACTAGAAGGCTACGCTCGTGCTTTCAAGCCTACACAGTGATAATAAGAATAGTCTGCCCTTAAAAAGGACAATCGACAGTCCCACCACTTCCAGCCAAATGATCAAGTAAAAAAAACCATATTTTCAGGATGAAGAAATTTTCTAAACAAACTCATTCATAATTTTTTTTCTAAAAATAGACCTATTTGAGTTTTATTTACAAAAATAGACTTATTTTGTCTTAATCCGGTTTCTAAATAGTCGGGGTTGCCAACCCCGACTATTTAGTGCATAGAATGTTAGGGTTTGGGGTTATAATTGAGGGTTTACAGCCTCCTAAATAGCCGGAGTTGGCAACCCCGACTATTTAGGAACCAGATTAAGATAAAATAAGTCTATTTTTGTAAATAAAACTCAATGGGTCTATTTTTAGAAAAAAAATGATGAGTTTATTTAGAAACTTTCTTCTTTTCAGGATTTTTAACTTACAAGTCATACTTTCCAATTTACAACCCATATTTTCCAATTGAAATCTTTAAAACCCCTGCATTTATAAGGTTTTCACCAGTGCGGTGGATTTAAATACATTCCCCCAACGCAAGAATCAGTCATTCAATGTGCACTATCTAACTCCGCGTACAAACAAAACATGGTGAACGGGAAAATATCAAGCCCCCGTTAACGTCCGTCCGCCATCGCCAGTTGACAGCTCGTCCCTTAAATACCCCTCTCCTAACATCTGGCTAACGGTGACGTTATTTTTGCCGTTGCAACGGACGCTGGAAAAAGATAAAAAGAGAAGCGGTATTGATTGAAACCACCAGCTCCCGTGGCCCTCTTAGTTCACAAGCGTGGAGAGATCACGAGCGAGAGAGCTCAAAATCCCCAAAATTTCCCTAAAATTTCCCATATTGATGCCAATTCTCTGCACGATTACGTCCATTTTATCCAGATTTGAGTTCTGAAACCCCAGTGTGCGAGGGAAATCGGATTGGATCTGGTGGAGGTGCGAGGGTTTGGAGCTTCATTGACGGCGATTATGAAGGAAAAAATGGTCATACGGAGGTGAAAGCTTGCTCCTTTTTCGTTCACATTTGGGGTTTCTAAAATTTTCTTTTGGATTTGTGTTCGGTGGAGTTTTTGGGGGGGTTGATTTCGAGGAATTTTGGGGATTTCAAGTACTTATGCTGGGGTTTGTGAATCATTGATGCTGCTGCAGAAATTTAGGTAATTGGAGGATTTTAGAGGAGTTTGTATTGATTTTCTTCAGAGAAATTTAAAGTTGGGTCTAGCTACAAAATATAGGAATTTTTTTAACATCTAGGGTTTTAAAATGTTTCCTGTTGTTTTGATTTCCTGTCCCCCTGTGTTTATTTCGAGGAATTTTGAGGTTTTTAAGTACTTATGTTAAAGGTTTGTGGATGTTGCTTGAGAAATGTGTGGTCTTTTTGGGGATCTGAAACTATTGTGTTGATTTGCTTCGGAGAAATTTTAAAATTTGAGGCTTTAGCTACAAAAAGAATAGAGTGATGTTGATTGATTTATGTTCTAGTAATACATGTAGTTAGAAGATTGAAGCATTTAACTGTTCTGATGTTATTGCTTTTTTTTTCGTTCTTCAGATCATTGAACCGGTTCTTCTGCGTTCTTTAATTCCTTAGTTGCAGCCAGTTTTTGAATAGCTCCATGATCTCAATTACCAGTTTCAGAGAGTTCTTTTGATCTCTGAAATCTCAAGAAAAATCTCATCTGTTTCGCATCAAGCCAATCAATCTAATTGAACAGGAGAAAATGCAGTCTAAATCCCGGATCCATGCTGATCCGTCTCTCTACGAACCGGACCTATTCGATCAGATTCCTGATTCCATTGTCCTCCTCATCCTTAACAAGGTTGCAGATGTTCGATCGCTTGGCCGATGCTCTGCGGTCTCTAAACGCTTCAATACCCTCATCCCCCTCGTCCATGATGTCTATGTCAAGATCGATCGGGTTGTCACTGTTGATGGAGATCCTGATGACACTCTAAACCCATCGGTTCCAAAACCTCGCAACCTATTCTCTCACTTCCTCAAGCTCATGCTTTTCACCCTCCTCAAGCCTTTCCACAACCTCCGCAACACTAATGGAGGGAACCGAACTCTCTTCCCACAGCTTTCTCAGCACTCCCCTGCCCAAGTTCTCAAGAATTTCACACATGTCCGTAATTTGAGGATCGAGCTCCCTGCTGGTGATGTTGGAACTGAGGAAGGGGTTCTCTTGAAATGGAGGGCAGAGTTTGGGAGCACACTGCACAACTGTGTCATACTTGGTGGGACACGAATTGATCGTAGGCCTGCTTCATCTGATCAGGAGGCGAGTTTAGATGACAATGGAAGCATACCCGAGTCGTTCTATACGAATGGAGGGCTTAAGCTTAGGGTGGTTTGGACTATTAGTTCTCTGATTGCTGCATCTACACGGCATTATCTTCTACGCCCGATAATTAAGGACCATCCTACGCTGAGAAGCTTGGTATTGACAGATGCTGATGGGCAGGGAACTCTTGTGATGGGTGCAGAGCAGTTGAAGGAGTTTAGGGAGAAGCCTGTTGCGGCCTCTGCTTCTTCTAATAGGACTCAAGTTCCTGCCTCTAATATGAAGCTGAGGTATGCCCCTTACTTGGAGCTCCCGAATGGAATGGGAATGCAAGGAGCAACACTAGTTGCAATCAAACCTTCGTACGAGAGTGGCAATGTTGGTGGTGGTAGTAGTAGGAAGGACGCTGAGGCTTTTGTTTGTGGAGCATTTGATGGTCCTTTTAGGGCAGCGGTAAAAGCATTGGTGAAGCGGAGAACTTATCTTCTAGAGATGAATGGCTTCTAGATCAGTAATCTCAAATTTGCGACTCTGCCCGTAGTTTATTTTCCTCTACCTCATCTCAATACGAGAATCGGCGTTAATGGAATATCTAAAAGATAAATAACATCTCTACTAGCTTGAGGTGTGTACCAGCTATCCGCAGTCTTTTTTACTTCTATCTGTACAGTAATAATCGCTGGTTGTGTTTCATCTCATGATATAAATGGAGTATTATTTGTGACTTTGTGTATCTTCATTATCCTCTCCTGTAAATGTGATGTTGATCGTCTTCTTTAAATATTCTGCTTGGGTCTGTCTGCTTGAAAGCTACTTTTCAAAATTGACTGGTCTTGCAATTTCTGACATATCCCCTTACATGCAGTGTTGTGGCTCTCCTACTATCCATAGATGTCAAATCTTCTAGGATTCTTTTGACAATTATGTAATAAGGAGAACCGACACATTTCAGAAGCGATTGCTTGGATTTGAAGAAAGTAGGGGGGGTCAGCTTGACAGCTCTCCCCCTTGAACAGTTGCAAGCTAAACTGGTAAGAGTTCTGGACGTGGGGGAGGTGGCGCAATTTTGGACGGGTTTAACCGTTTTAAGGCCAAAAGATGTCCTATCAAAACTAGCATTAGGTCCTGGTCCACTTCTTTACCAAATGATGAGGAATTAAATTGGTTTCAACTAAACCAGTTTTAAGTTGGAGTTGCCAAATAAAGCATAGGCATTTATAATGAACCGAGGAATGGAATGTTCAAAGTGCCTGGAGGTATGTAGCCTATTTCAGTTTGTGACCCTATGGATTTAAGATGGCCACAAATGCTTTAGATGATTCTCGATTTTATTTGGTGGAATACATGTCGAAAGCTGCGTCTTCAGTTTGCCTTTAGAGGATTTGATAATATATTTCATAGGAATAGTTACTTAGCATACCTTTCGAGTGTTTTTGAATCTTGCATTTGGCTACAACTAGCTAGAGTATTTTAAGGCATCACTGTGTTGAAAGTTGAATGGGAAATTTTGGCTGTCGAAGGTTAAGTATACTGTTAAGAGTAAGCTCCCACGGAATATTTGCGTTAAGTGCCTGGGTGCAGGATGAACGCAATCTTATATCAAGGACTCATGGATGAGTGATGTTACGAAAGGACAAATTTTCAAAACCATCCAATTTTGAAATTTATTTATAAAAAACGACCCATTTCAACCTTAATTTTAAAAACCGACCCAGTTGGTTGAAACTGGGTCGGTTTTTGAAAATTTTTTTTTCAAACTTCACGGGAGTTGAACTCCCGTGAAGTTTTGTTATGAGAAAAAACTTCATGGGAGTTCAACTCCCGTGAACTCCCGTGAAGTTTGGAATTTTTTTTTCAAAAACAGACCTAGTTTCATCCAACTAGGTCTGTTTTTGAAATTAAGGTTGAAAGAGGTCTTTTTTTGGGAATAAATTTCAAAACCGGATGGTTTTGAAAATTTGTCCTATTACGAAAACAAGTTGAGCTTAATTAAGTGGACAATGTGGTTCTGCTGGAGTAAATCAAGTCCAAAAGATAAGGACAACTCATGTGAGCTTCTGTGGTTTGAGTCATTGTTGGTTCTCGATATGGTAAGGAGACAGAAGATGCATAATTTTAACTTAATGATTAGCCTAGGATCCCTTCTGCTCCAGGCAAATGGGGAGAAAATGAAGGGTGGGAGCTTTTTATCGTATTATCCTTTTAGTATGGAAATCGCTAGCTTAGGATGTAATTAGTCCGTCAACCTTTTTCGTGCATCTGAAACTTTCAAAATATGCCACCACAAGGAAGAAGTATCTCAAGTATTAACTACTAACACATTGTGTAAATGTGATGTACAAATTAGAATTCTTAGTTTAGGTTAACTTGAAGGAGAATGCAGGCTTGGTGTAAAGAATTGTAAATACAACATAAAAAATTTGGGATTACTTTCAATCAGAAAAGGGGACATAAAGTGAAAGAGATAAAGGAAGCAGGCACTTAATAGTACTTAAATTTTAAGTCTTAATGTGCAAAAAGTGTGATCTAAATGTGGTTTGAGGTGTAGGAAGAGGTGAAATCTCACATGGTAGAGGCTGACACTGGCTGATTAAGGGGAGGAATACATGTGGAGCTTGGATGGCTTAGAATTGAACTCATGTGAGAACCACGAGCGTAATGCTAAAAGATCACCCAAATTAACTGTTAATATAGGCTTTTTTTGCTTAAAAGGCTAGATTTATGAATAATTTTTGATTAAGTTGGATCAGTTCACATATCCAACCACATGCTCATCAATTTATATATTGGTATCTGGAGCTAACATAAGCGTGGTGGTACTTGCAGAGGGAAAAACATTATGGTTCATTGTATGATTCGGTTTGTTGTTTCACCACCATCATGTTGCAGTTCATACTACAAGTCGATTAGGATTAAGGAATATTTTATCGGCACTGGACTTTACCTTTGCCCTCTTTAGAATTTTGCATTATTCTATGACCAGTTATTTTTATTGCAGGGCATCACACTAGGCACGTAGATTAAATTTTAACAGTGTGATGATGTTAGAGAAAATCACACTAGGCACTCATGTGAGCTTCTGTGCAGTTCATTATTGGTCCTTGCATATGCTAAGGAGAAAGAATCACATGCTTTTAACTTGATAATTAGCCCAGGATCCTTTCCTCTCCAAGCAAATGGTGGGAGCAAATGAAGTGGTGGGAGCAATTTGTATGCAAGCTTAGAGAAGTCATTAAGCTGGTCCTCTTTGTAAGTGCATACAAAGCGAGGAGAAGATGGCTACTTGAGCTGGACTCACATGAGAGCCGTTGAGCCTCTTTTAAAGATGGGGTGGTACTAGGGACACACCCCCAACCACATCCCAAACCACACCCCTTTCTCTCATATGCTACAGTACACCGGGCCTCACATGAGATTTTAAATTTCTAAAATCTCATGTGGGGCCCGGTATACTGTAGCATATGAGAGAAGGGGTGTGGTTTGGGATGTGGTTGGAGGAGTGCCCCTATCATTTTCCTTCAAAGATTTTGGACATTATCTGATGTGAATTAAGGTGTAAAGACGGGAAAAAAAATTAGGTCACCCTCAATCAAAAGATGAGGGAAATAAGCCCTAAAGTAATAATCATATCGCAAGTCATTATGTGCACAAATAGTGATGTAAATAATGTGGTTTGAGTAGGAAGGGTGAGATCTCACATGTTGGAAGCTGGCAATAGCTGATTAAGGGGGAAGACATCATATAAACTGATCTGACTTAACCTAGCTTGTTGCAAAAACTAGTCATGCACCTAACTTTTTAATCAAACATATATTGACAGTTTGAAGGTAAATGGAAGCCGATTCGGGTGAGATGATCTGTAGGCAGCCTTCTCATGGTTTTCACATCTGAGTTCTATTTTAAGCCGTACAAGCTTCAAGTGCTCATCAATTCCGATACTATTGTTCGCAGCTAGAACAGGGGAATGTAGTTGTGCTTGCATTTGAAGCTATAATGGACAATAATGAGATATTTTATGATTTCATACGCTAGCCTCCATGGTATTGCAATCCAACCTGTTGGTGGCTTAGTAATTGATAACGGAGTGGAACGCTCACTCGATCGATTAGGAGCTTGCTAAAACTCTACGTGCATTAATCGTGCAAGGCTGGAGGCTTGTGATCCTTATTGTTAAGCTTCTTAGTTGTCCTGTAATACTAGTAGGGAACCTGCCACAAAATTTAATATAAACAATCTGCAGTGATCTGAAAGCCGAGTATAATGTTTATGGGATTTAAGTATTCTCTAATTAAATTGGGTTAACATCCGCGTGCCAAGCATAATGTTTATGGGATTAGGAAAAAAATGCTTATGGTGATGGTACTACTCTTGATGTTTATACTACTCGGCTTGAGTTCATTGTTGTCTACCAATATTACGCCTCTTGAGCTATCAAGGTTTTCGTATTTCTGCAAAATTAATCTATTGAGTCAACTTTGGTCCCAAACCACATAGGACCCTTGTCATATGGAGGGCTCAGGCTCCGTGTTTAAGCCTATGTTGATCTTGTGTTGAGTTGCATGCATTCAGGAGGAACGTTGCTAAATTAGATGGCTAAAAAGCTAGCTGTTCAAAATGAAGCTAGAATCCTTACTGTGCGTGAATTAGTTTGGTCATGTTATTTTGCTTATATTGGTACGATAATAACTATTGGTTATGTTTATCTTATGATATAAATAGGCTATATCTGTTGTGCGCAGCAGAACTCTAATCACACGAATAAGAACGAGGTAGATCACAACTAAACACAAACACAAATCATAATCACATCAAGACAACGAATTTTACGTGGTTCGGGAAGCTGCCTACGTTTACGGGGCAAAGATGGGGGAGTTCTTACTATTAGAGATGAAGAGAATACAAAATAGGATTACAAAATCACTCAAAACCCTAAAACAAAGCTCTCTAAATATCTCACCAATCTCCCACAATTGGATGCAACAATCCTCTCACAAAGACTGCTTAAAACGTCTTTACTTAACCCTAATTAATCATGTTTAGGTAATATACAAACAACAAACAAAACAGGTCAAAAACCCAAAGCCTAGCTTAGACCCGAGTCGCGGTCGTCCGCCGCGGTCGTCGCGGTCGACCACAAGGCAACGACAGAAACCAAAAAGCCTATAGGATTTGGCTGGTCGACCGCACGTGACGCCGCGGTCGACCGTCAAAAGTCCAGAGACCTCCCAGGTCTTGTGAACGTTTCCGATCGACCGCAACTGATCTCGCGGTCGACCGCAACTGATCTCGCGGTCGACCGCGAAGCTTCCTGACAGATTTTTCTGTCGTTTTTCCTGAACTTTCTTCAACTATTCGCCAATCCTTCAAATTTCCACCTCGGTGAAGTTTCTTCCAAAACTGAGCCGACACCAAATCATCCAAATGTCCTACTTGTTGTGTCCAGTACGAAGTGGAATCAACCCACGACAACGGACTCAATCCACAACAAGTCGGGAACCCAAACGAGAGTTCAAATAATCTCCCCTCATCGAAATCAACAAGTCCAACCGGCTACATCGAAAAGACTGCCTACGTATCCCCTTGCCCAAGGAATCAAGCCAAACGTAGTTCACCCAAATGGCCTTCAAAGGCCCTCAACATTGAAAAATGTTTAATAGCTTCAAACAATGACCAAATTTCACACCTGAAATAACTTTGGTCAATATATCCGTAGGGTTGTCCTTCGTGTGGATCTTCTCTAATATGACGTCTCCATAATCCAAAATGTCACGAGCAAAATTGAA